CTCACGGCATATAGGCAGGGGTAAAGTGGTATTTTTTATGAGTGGGGGGCAGACCTCACCTCCTCTAGGGGGGTCCGGGGGGATGCTCCCCCGGGAAGATTTTTTTTAAAATATTGAAGTTAAAAGCATCAATCTGGTGCACTTTGAGAGCAAAATGAAGAGATCTATGGATACCTCTCTCAGCACCCATATGAAACAGAACTGTAAACAGATGTACTTTTTCTTTATGGATATTTTACTAATCACTCCCCTTTTAAACTCTATTCTTGTTTTACTGCCATATAGTATTTCATAACTGTTTTTCCTTTATTCTCTTGTTTTTTTTATAACTATAATGATCATATGAAGGTGTGCCGCGGAAATAATCTTTTGAATAATTTGTGACCAAACAGTTTGAGACCCACTGAGATAACTTAGACTAAAGTTAAGTATCTAAACACTCAGAGAGTCCTTTAGCTCACCTGAGTCTCTCAGTCTGAGAGGAGAGGACTCTCCTCCAGCTTGTTGTGGAACAAACAGCTCCTTATGTCCGTTAGTGCAGCTAGCTAACCAGATGCTAACAACAGGTCCCTGCTGGCAGCGGTCCCTCTCTCTCTCTCTATCACACTAAATGCGCTATTGCCACACACACACAGAGCCGAGCTTGAATGACACAAGCACACGTTTATTTCCATGCAACTCTCTGATTGGTCTGGTGTCATGCCTCTGTTGCATTCACTGAACACGGGAAATTACAGTGTTGCCGTCCTCTCTTGTGTCATGATGAGGTTCACGTAAAGCACGGTTAATGTATTATATTATTGAGGGAGAATTGTCCGGGGCTACAGAAAAAACATTCGGGGCTAAAGCCCCGGATGCCCAGGCCAGGCGACGCCACTGCTGTGATCTAATATCATATTTTGCTAACGTTTTTACATTTTTTGAATTAATAATAAGTGCCATCAATGATGCTCTTTTGGTGATTTACACATCTCCAGGTTTCCACCCGAATGCAACAGTTCAGAACAGACGTGCAATGTTTACCATGATTTACTGCCCTCTGACCGACTCACCAGGACCAGCTCTCCCTCCAGCTCCTCCTGGTCCTCGTCCTGGGTCTCGGAGCTCCTGCTGCTCTCCCTGCCGGACTCCATCACCTCCCCCTGGAGCACAGCGCTGACGCCGGGCCGCTGCTCCAGGAAAACCTCCACCAGAGCGACCTGCTCCGCGGAGACCAGCAGCCCCGGCCACCGCAGCAGGACGAGCGGTAACATTACCCAAAGACAGCACCAGCACCGAGCTAAAGCCATGACCCGAACAACAACAACAACACAACACAGAGAGAATACGAAAAACGTGTATAAATATAAAAACCTAATCAAATGTCACCCGTCATTTCATAGAAGCTGCCATCATTCCTGTTCGCCAATTAGCTAGCTGGACCACTCAGAGAATGTAAACAACCACAGGCAACTTCCGGACCTGACCGGAAGAAGCCGGAGGATTATCATCTTGTATACACATCGGTAGAGATCAAAGTTGTGACTTGTGAGTGACGCATTACCACGAATTAAATCATATATCAAATGAATACGCTTACTATCTAACACATTAAGTTGAATTAAAATATATTAAGCGGTTATCCCGTTGATTTACAGTTACAGTTTTGAGTTTTCTTTTGACCTTTTCTGCTACCAGAGAAGAACGTAGCAACGAGAGAGCGTTCCGTCCCATACTTCTCTCTTTGATTTAAAGCCGCGGTCCAGACACGCTAAAACTGGTGCGGTGTTTATTAAAATGTAAGAGCTGTGTTTGACGCATAGACTGTATAAATATAGGACCTCTGGTATTCCTTAGTGTTTAATGTTAGTTCAATATTTTGAGTAAGTGAGCTCTGAAATTGAAACCGAAGACAACCAAGCTCATACTTGTTTCACTTTGCACCAACACACTGTGACAATATAATGACGACCCAATATTAAAACAAATATGATGTGTGACGAGGTGCTCGCCATGTGCACGCTATGCTAATTCAATCTGGTTTAATGCACAGTGGTTCAGCAAATTGGCTCTCCTGTCACACTAAAACAAATGCCGGTACGCAATGTAGGCAGTGGCGGCCGGTCCATAGGGGCGCTAGGGGCGCCGCCCCACCTCTTCCCATATTGAAAAAAATAATAATAATAATTAAAATTAAAATAAAAAAAAAAAAATATGTTTAAAAAAATATATATGTTTTTATTTTTATTTTTAATGAACAAGGTAAATATTATATAATTGGTATCAGTAAAATGTATAATCTACAATAAAATCTCGTTTAAAATTGTGTTACGATGTCTAAAGTTACTGATAAGTCACATGTTTCCTGCCTGGCCTTGCCCATGCACCTTCTCTCGTCTGGGCGCTAAGAGAGGAGCCTTCAACCAGTGCAGCAGCAGCCACCAGCAGCTGACTGTTGCTATCTGTAACGTGTAAACTATGCCGCGAAAATATAATTTCAGCCAATCAGCGTCGTCAAAGATGACGGTCACCGGGCGCCAATGTCAGCGCCCAGTGCAGTCTGTGAGTAGTTTGGACAGTGACTCGTATCCGGTTGACGCAGTAGTTGATGAGGATGGCTTCGTGTGCAGGTGGAGTCTCCGGACCTCGGTCCCCGCCTAATTCTGTTCAAGAGCTAATCTCCAATCCTTTCGAAAGGAGAAGTTTGGCAGATAAATTGTTGCTTAAAGACCTTGCACCGGACCAACCCGATTTGAATATATCGCAGCAATCTCGTGAAAAAGACAACATTTATACACGAGGCTTCACAAGTAGCTGGTACACAAGAAAGGCTTGGCTAGCTGGATGCAAACAGGTAAATGCTGTCTTTTGTTTCCCATGCTTGGATATCACTTTATATGTAGAGAGGAGGTTTCCCATGGTTGTTAGAAGTTTATTAATAAGTGGGCATTTATCACAGAAGTGATTGTTCTGTCTCCACGTTTGTTGCATTGTCTGTGATGTATTTTCCAACGGTTATAGCTCCTGTCCCAGCAACACTACACGGTTTGCAGCTCCACCACATTTTTGGTTTATCTTCGGTGTCGCTTAAAATCTGCTTCCCATCGGACTAAAACCTCCACGTAATCTGAAGACAGATACTTGAAGTTATTTAAACCTTTTGCAAACTTTATGTTCTTTCTTGCTCTAGCCTTGCCAGTTACATTGTACATAACACATATATTATCATTATGCTAACTGGTTGTTCGTGTTAGACGATGTAGCTTTTTCATTTCTGAGTTATTGCTATATGTAAACAAGCCTGTTTGTAAATAATCCTCAGAGAAACAAAGAAAAAACACAATTTATGACATTTTGTGCTGTGGTTATTTTTTTTTAAATTGCATTTATTCACAGTTCAGTTTGAAATGCTGTAGTGACTTGTATTGAACCACTTAAATATTTATAATTAATGCTACTGAAAAGATGCTATTAATTTTATATCTCACATGCAGTTCACTGTAAAGCTACTTGGTGAAGGTGTTGGTTCATAAAACATGAACAGTTTTAAGAAAGAAAAAAACAGACCAGTTCTGAGAACACAAATTCCTGGTAAAGTAGTAGATGTTCAGGTTGATAAATAATATTTTCCACACTGAAGATTATGGAGGTATTGATCAGTCTTCTCATATTTTTAAGCCTCGATTTCTCCTTTCCCCCCCCCTCTAACATCACCAGAAGTCATCATTTAAGGGGTCATTTCTCGAAAAAAATGTACGGGGGGAAACCCCCCGGGTAGGTCACTTACGGTACGTCAAGAGCCCCACCAAAAAAAAAGACCACCGGCCGCCACTGAATGTAGGCCTATACCAATACGGTAATATTATAGTTATTACCTGTTAATATTGTTAAGTATAAGTTGTTGAGCTTAAATACAAGTGGCTAGTGTCTCGGTGTTACTTAGTTTGTACTCTGTGACAGGGTTTAGCATGTCTGTAGGGTTTCACAATAAAAACCTCTTGCATGTTCGTCAGTTGGAAGAGTTAATACTAAATAAAAAACAGGAAGTTTCATGTCAACATTAGCAGTAACTTTACAGTTTGTATACAGTAGCTACAAATCCCTTGTTATAAGTCTTTTAGACATCCCGTCTTCCAATAGAGGAAATACATTTAATTGTATCTATTCAGTACTGAGTTTAATATACATTGTATCAGTCATGCAATATTGTTCAAATTATGTTTGGTAATGTTATGCATTTAACTGGTCCAATCATGTTTATGTTATCCTTTCTTCAGAATTGAGTTTATTGCCAGGTAAGTTTACACATACAAGGAATTTGCTTTGGTGTCTGAACATAAACAATCTAATAAAATAAGTTGCAATATAGGTAAAAAATATAAAGATAATAAAAATAAGTATTTTTTATAAACTATTTAGCATTACAAAAGAATAATAAAGACAAGTATGTATGCCAGATACAAACTAAACCAAATCACCTAGGACAATGAATATATGACAATAGGGCAAACTACAGTGACTTATATTTTAAAGTGGAGGGCTGTACAGACATGTGTGCAAAAATGTGCAAAATGTAGTCAGAGAGTTGAGCTTGAACATGGTTCACAGTTGTATTTTGTAATAAGGGTTAGGGGTAGGTTTATTTAAAAAAAAAAGAAGAAGAAGAATCGCAATTACAATCACATCTAGACACAAACAACACACTGGCAATGCGTGATCTATAACATTGCATAGAGGAAAAAGTAAACAATATATCAACTATCTCTCAGCTCTTTACTATAATGTGGATATTTGGCATATCCCCACTAAAAACAATTACAAAAAATCTCTGTTAAAAATAACCCGTTCTCTAATTTGACAACCATTACAACAATACATCCCCCATGGAATTTGTTATGATTCAGTTGTTCTTTTTTTAGATAGTTTGGAAACGTTAGTTTGGACAGTGGGCGTGGCCACTCCTCTCTTCTGGTCCCTCCTTTCTTACACGAGTAGCGCTCCTGTCTCTACTCCCTATCTTTGACAGGGTCAGCCGGTTGGACTGAATTTCTGACGGGCGTTGTGTGGTGTTTACATTTTTATCCTCCGTCGGCGGTCTTTCTCACCTGCTGACAGCGAAGAGAAGAGGACACTGTAGCTAGGCAGCGACTGAACATCATCTGGGAGGCGTCTGACAGAGACCCGCCTGCCCGTTAACGGTGACTGCGCTGTTTATCTCTCGCTCCATCTGTTTATCTGACTTGGAGCTCCGTCAGTATCCGTGTTGAATTTTCTGCTCGCAAACATGAGCGGCAGAGTCGGAGACCTGAGTCCTAAACAGGCGGAAGCACTGGAGCAGGTACGTTTATTAATATTAATACTAATTGTGCTTTGTACTGTAGTAGCTCCTTACATGAATACGCTTTCTAGGAATCCCATTATGAATGTTATATAATCTCTCTGGTTAAGCACGTGTGTAATTGTCTTTTAAAGGGTTTATTAGCTTTCCTACATTCTTCATGCTTAGGCTATTGAATCTTTTGCGTTTTAGTCATAATTAAGTTATAAGCCATTATTAAGAACAAGTTAGCTGTCTAAAGACTGCAACTAACATTTATTTTCTCGATTATGTGATTCAGCATTTTGACTATAACAGGTCAGAAAGTAGTTCCCATTAAAATGCCCCAAATGATCAAATCTGTTTCCTCCCACCAGGTCTGAACCCCCAAGATATGTATTTTCTATTATATATTTGAACAAAACATTTTTTTTTTACATTTGATAATCTGGAACCAGAATATGGTTGACAATTCCACTTGAAATTATGAATTAGTAGATCAATAAAAGAATCGAATAGTTGTCTTAGTCAATTGAGTAATTGATCACATGTTGCAGCTTTCGCATTTGTAGTATTGGCCATTTATGAAGAGATTAGTTAATAATACAGCCTTTTTAAAGTGAGAGGGGCAAATCATTTTTATTCACAAATGTTCTGAAAATTCAATTTGAAGTCTTCAGTCTTCTTTATCTCCAAACAAAACCTACAGTCATATGTATAGCAATTCCTTAAGTGATTTGAACCATTCATATATTGGCATTTAGCTTTTTAAGTTATTTAAAAGATTATCAAAAATATTGCTACATACTATTGAGAAAGCATGAATCAATACATTTTGTAGAATGTACTTTATTATTATCCATCACTGTATTTTTGCTACAATTAACTATCAATCAAAACTAATGCAGCAAACTATTTTTGGTTAGACACATTATTTAAGCATCATCTCAGTTTTCAATCAATGATTTTATTTATTTTTCCCGCTACTGCATTACAATATAGAAACCTTTTTATAACCCTTTTAGGGGAAAGTCTGTAAGCTGTACGTTTACATAAGAGGAATTTCACTATATATCAAAAACTACGTGGCTACCGTTTTTTTTTAAGCCCTTTCCTGTTTCAGCCTGACAATGCCCCCGTGCACCTGAATGAACTGAACTTGTCCTGACCTATCCAGCACTTATAGGATTAATTCAAATGTTGACTGAGACTCAGTTGCCTCACAACAACTCACTAATGCTCTTTGTGTCAACCTGCAGCCAGGTTCCACATCTAGTGTGAAGTCTACAACCAGAAGAGATAAGGCTGTTATAGCTGCACAGGAATGCCCATGGCTTTGGTAGTATTTTTTTCAGAAAAAAATGAAACTGGTTGCAGCTTCCTACATTTTAATATTTGCTGGTTTCCTTTTTGAACATTAAAGCATGGAGACATGTCACAGTAGAGACACTAAATACTGATATGAACCTGAACATTAAAGCACTGAGACATGTCACAGTAGAGACACTAAATACTAATATGAAGCTGAACATTAAAGCACTGAGACATGTCACAGTAGAGACACTAAATACTAATATGAAGCTGAACATTAAAGCACGGAGACATGTCACAGTAGAGACACTATATACAAACATGAACCCTGAAAATGAGCAGAATAGTGCCCTTAGTATAGAAAGAAGTCTTTCAGGCTCCCTGGAAGAGAACAGGGAATGTACATGTGTCAAAGCTGAAATGGCATCCCTTGTGGGACATTTCTCAACCTTGCTCTCAAAGTGTGTAAAATGATTTGTCACAGTCACATATTTTAGCAGCCTTAGGAAATAAATACTTATCTGAAGAAGAAAAAAGAGACAAGTACTGTATTCTTCATTTGCTCTTCTTCTCTCCATTATTTGGCCTCAGTTTCGAGAGAGGATACAAGATATTCTACCTCAACTTCCTGCACAGCATGATCACTTCCTGTTACGCTGGCTCAGAGGTGAGTTGGGAAACCTGAGGCATCTGCTGCTTTTCCCTGACCACAGCTTGCACCTGCTGCTTTCCCCTGACCACAGCTTGCACCTACAGGAAAACCAATACCCTAAAAACCCTATTATCCTGTGCCTATTTGCCTACATTCATTTGCATGCATTCACATTGACAATATGTCGGTGCTGTTATGCTTATGCAAAAAGCAGAAGTTGCCGTGGTTTATTACGTGAAAGGATATATTGCAACACATTGTACACACTTGATTTGCAAGGGTTGAGAAAGAGACTCACATGTTTTGCAAGCCTTACTGTGGTTGCTCAAACTTCAGATGAAGAACCAAGCCAGACAAACAAATCAGAAAAAAGTCAGGGTTTTCTTTAAAACACAAGAAGAATTGACCAGACTCACAGATTATTTGTATTGGATAGGTTGAGGTTGGGTAACGGCAGGTTTTGCTGTAGGCCTTAATGCAAGTTCTAAAATGATTTGCACTGGATTGCGACCTGACTGGACACCTTAATTACCCTTAAACTAAAAGTGAGGTTGCTATGCAGGGTCAGCATCATCAGACTTGCCGCTAACAGTGCCAATACTGTAAGGCACAGTAGCTAACAAGCTCATTTTTAATTGGTTAATCTATCTATTGATTTTCTGCTAACTATCTGCGTAAGGTCACATTTATTTAATTTGTTATATATCATAGGAACTAGGACACTCTGATACCCCCTTTTCAATGAGTTCCGTGCTGGTGCTGGGTTGGTTCGCATTAAGTTTAATGTGCGAACCGTTTTGGTTTTCTACTGCCCATAGCCCATGTAGTGCCACTCGCAGTAAGAACAATGGCGGACTGCGTTGGGTCGATGCTCATGTTGGTATTCTTACAAGAACAGATTCAATTGAAGCACGACTTCTCCAACTTTATACTGTCCTCCAGAGTGCCGTGGTTCAGCCGCGTTTGCCGACTCCAGGAGAGGAGCTCGTCCATCGTCGTTCAGCCTACTGTTTACAGCGACTGCTGCAAAGTAGTAATTCACTGTGTGACTGTCACACAAGCAACATCCCCTGTTGCATATTTCCCATCCCCATAAGTGTGTTTTTTTTGTTTGAAATGACACTGTTTGGCATCATAACGGTGGTATCAAAGTTTCTCTGGTATTAGATGATGATAGCATAGCCACTGAAGCTAGTCTGACTACTTGTTGCAATCATATTGAAGTCATTTGCTACTGGCATATTTGACCGACTAATGTTTCATTATGATCTTACTTGTGATAGAGTGAAACCTGTGTAGCCCGCACGTACTGATTACACCTGATAGCAGCTATAATAAAAAAAAATAACAGGAAAACGTATGCTGCTCTTCAAAACGGTCAATAATAACAAACGGCTGATCATTACAATTAATGAAAAAGAAAGCGTTTCCCACGTATGCCTAGTTTATGTTGCGTGACTTCATATATGTGTGTTTAAATATGTGTATGGTTGCGTTCTAGTCACTTTTGCAATCTGAGCGCTATTACTTGTAGCAACTTTATTATCTTCACCGTACTCGCAATGAACGGAAAAGGTCAACTTGTTTACATAGGTAGTTCTTTTTTATATAAACTGCTGGGAAATACTGACAAAATATATGTAAAATAATGAATCTGAGCCACGTCATCCCTGATGGGTTTCCATCTGAAGCCCTGTTGGAGTTGATGTGTTCAGTCTAGAGGAAATGTTCTTGTTGTGATGAGTTCTGCAGCAGAGGACTAGCAGTCTGTGTTTCAGGCTAATCCAGAGCTAATCGCATTAAAGAGGCACTACGATGGACAAGTGTTCTTCCAGTAGACGCTCTGCTGTTGCTTTGGTGGCTTTGTGTTCCCTAGACGATGAAATGATTTCATAAGAAGAGCGCAGTGGCAGTGTAGGCAAATTGTTCTCTTTAATGAAACCTTACAAAAGGTTAAAGGTCAGCGTCACAGCTAGAAAGGTGGACAATGAGGTGCTTGTTTGGCCTATAGCTCTGAATGATTCAAGTCATTTCACTTTTCTTTCCTGGTTGGATGCAAACTGCATTTTGTTGTGCAATGACAATAAAGTTGAATCTAATCTAAATCTAATCTAATCAGTTTGGCTTTGGGAATACATGAGAGAATAGCCCAGTCCAGGTCATTGATTTAAAGCAAACAGCCTGAGGTGGCACACAGTGAGCTCTAACGATTGACCTCATCATTATCTAGATCTCAACAATTATTTAGCCCTGGTTCATCTGTCTGAACTGATTTCAATATATTTAGTTAAAGAGGCCCTATTGTGCTTTTTTCTGCTTTTCCTGTATTGTGTTATATGGATTTTATGTGTAAATGGTCTGCAAAGGCTAAAATCTCAAAGTTCCATCTAGAGCAGCGGTTCCCAATCTTTTTCAACTCAGGGCCCACTTAAGAATCACCACATTCAACCATAAACAATACGGAGGCTAAATAAAGTTCTGATTGGTCAATTCAGAACATGTGACACGTTGTTAATCCAGTAGAACAGACCGCTGTCAAGGAGGATCAAGAAAGAGAAAGGAAAAGAGGTTAAAATAAAGAAAAATCTTAATAATGAAAATGTTTCCACACAAAACATAATGCTTTGCAAATTATTTGGCGGCAAATATTGAATTTACATTTACACCCTTTAATATTTTATTTGGGCTTTTAGATGAAGACCGCACACAGTTAATAAATACAACTATTCTTCTGGCTAAAATACATATTTTTGAAAGTCAATCAAGGAGTCATCTTAATTTAAGGTGTTTTAAGAGTAGATAAAAAACACTCATCACGCCATGAAATGGGAAATAATTAGCTCTAACGAAGAGTGGGATTAAAGGAACAATACATATGCTTGCCATGTTGTGTTTTTGGTGGTTTTTGGTTGTCAACCTATTTTTGTTTGTGAAATGTTGAAGTGATCCTACTGACTGTATCTTTATTTCTCCTGTTTTTGTTTTGTTTTTGTCTGAGATGGGAATGTCATCTCCTATATGTTATTGCTATGTCCATGTTTGTGTCTTTAGCCTGTACACAAAAAAAAATAAAATATATATATATATTTGACGGCCCACTTGCAATGCCTTCGCGGACCACTAGGGGGCCGCAGCCCACAGGTTGGGAACCGCTGCTCTAGAAGGAGTTTCTCTCTCACACTCCTCCCCAGCCAAAAAAAAGAGTCCTTTGTTAACCTACAGTATGTGACATAGTGACATCACTATGAAACACTCGCCCTTCTATTGGCTAGCGCTTCTACACATTGTACGTGATAGGTTAAGGGGCGGGACATCCCTAAGCTTTGACCAATCACAACAGAGCCGTTCATCACAGCACCTTTATAGACAGTGGCCACAAATGACAAATCAATGTCTGAAAAGGGCTTAGTTAAAAATAAAATATCTGAACTCAGCTTAAGTTGTTGTTCTCTTCGCATAAGAGGTATAAAATCATACTAGCTGCTTGTTGTCTGTCAAACAATTACTTTGCAACAGTAGAAGGTTTCAAGAACAGACTTCAGGTAAGCTCTTGGCTTGGCTGGATAAAAGGAAACCAGTTATTAACCCTCCTGTTGTCTTCGGGTCAAATCTGACCGATTTACTACTTTCATCAATCATAACTTTTTTGTTTTACATTCGATTGCATCAAGGCTTTATGATATCCTTCACAGTAGACATTTGAACATATACAATTGCTGATCACCACTTTCATTGAATTTTGGATGATTTAGTCAACTTTGTAACACCCATGGTGTTCCCGGTCAAAAATGACCGCCATAAAGAAAAGGAATTAGTAACCATCCGGATCAGATCACACACACACACACACACCCACACCCACATACTCTAAATGTGTTCCCCCCCCCGTGCCCAATCCCCCCATGTGAATCACACCTGGCACTCACAAACACACACACACAGAACAATTTGACACATTTCCCGCTCTTATGTGCCCATCCCCCCACATGGATCACACCTGGCACACGCAATACATGTTCAGTGTCTATTCTTTGTATATTTACTGCAGTTCTTCATGTATACCAGTAGTCTGATACAATATTTACAGTTTGAAAGGGTGTTAAATTACATTTGGTGATGATTAATGGTTTTTGTGTTAATGTAATAGCAGTTCAAACAGGACCGGTCAGTTTACGAGCTATATGCCTTGAGGTACAGGGCGTAGCTCTACACTTTCCTGTGCCAAGGTTTCATATTTCTTGTCATGTTGTGGTTGAAATAATGGGAATCACAGCGACTGACTGTGGGATAGATGCAACTATAACCTGTTTCTGTCTGCCAATGAATGACCCTTCTCCTCTTTCTCAGGATAACTGCTTTCTAAGTCTCAGACGATTCACTCCATATGGGCGTATACTGTATTTATCTCTGAGGAGCTCCACCTTAAAAGATAAAAGCGGTGTACATGACACCAATTCATTCTGTTCTGGAGAAACTGTAGAACATATTGACCTGAATTTGGTGAAAGACACTTTTGCAAACAGCAGCTTTTTATTAAAAACTCTTGAAGTTGGATTTAGTCAAAAGAGAGTAGTCTTTTCCACATCAATGTCAAATGTATATTTTGTTACTCTATCTCGACGTTCTAATGACTACAAATGTTGTGACTTTCGCCTTCCTTTGACTTTGCAGAGGTATAGACACGTAGGGCTATTTGCTGTGTTTGCTTCTAGCCAAGATTGATACTTATATCTTATACTTATATTTAAAGGCATCTAAAAGTCTAAATCTAGGGCCGCCAGTGGATGATTATATAATCACGAAACCCACTGTCCCTTTGTGTTTTATTAAACATGGACCAGTGGTGGGAGAGATATTGGTTGTATTGTTAAAGTTATCAGAGAATATGCTGACTTTGGTTGTTCATCGTTCTGGCCTCAATATGAACCTTTATCACAGCTTAAGATAACCTTTCAGAGAACTGCACCACGCATGTCTCTCTGTCCGGTGGATCCTGCCTCGAGGTTTTAGGAACTGAGTGTGTTGTATGCTTATAGGCAAATAATGATGTATGATGTTGGGCTACATAAAACAGTTGTCATGTAAGTGTCATATATCGAATATACAGTGCTTTCCTTCCAATAAGCACAAGCAAAGACCCCATTTTAAGATGAAGTTATCAGAATAATCCTTATTAATGACTCTAAATAATACACAGCCTGTAACCTGCTCTGTGCTTTGTAATGGTCACTATGTCCTGGTTAAGGTGGCAGATTGGAGCATAGTTAGGTGTAGTATAATCCACTGTTGGTGTGTGTCACTTCCACAGCGCTCTTGTTCTGTTCCAGAAGACATTAAGCTGCAGAGCTAATCACCTTACATGGAGCATTAGGACTATTCTGGATCAGTCATACTGACACAGCTGTTTTACTTTGAGTCGAGGAGGTATTTTGGATGTTATGCAAGTTAAATCAGTGAAGATTATGCAATTTAAAAGATTGTTTTATTCCTGGTATTTGTACCACTTCCCTAAATGTCCCATGTTCCTAAAAATCCCCTCGTGCCATTTATGCACCGTGGAGCCACCGTGTAAGAATTATGGAGACACTTTTGAGGAACTGTTATATCATTCTTGCCAGGATTTTCACATTTTCACACTAAATGTAATATTTTGGTTTACTAGTGGTTTCCAAGTAACCCTTTTATTTTGGTTATACAACTTTAAAACAAGGTTTAGATAAACCAAAACAATACAGGATGTGGTGGTATCATCAGTTGCTGCTCTTCGTTTCCCTCTACATCCTGCTCTTATTTGTTGATGTTAATGAATTGTTTCCTATTTCTAGAAGATGTAAAGATAGGGTCAAGTAAAGTGTGATAATATAGAACCTTTTATGCATTCTTATGCATACGTTATCGCATACCTTTACATGTTTGCTGGATATGATTATCATCATTTTGACCCATGTCCTTTTTTTGGTCCTATTCACATCCAGTCTAATAACTTTGAGACAATCAAACATACTTACAAACATTATTGACACATTTTAAATGTAAACACATATTGCACGCATGTACGTGACCTTTTTTGTATATCTACTTCTCCTAATTCCCTACATTTTATTCCCTACTTTTGATCAAATGTATTGTTGGAATCCCACTCTAATTGGGTATCTTCATTTTATTTAATGACAATCATTTATGCATCATGGATCTCTCTACAAATCATGCCTTATTTTCCTTGTCTTTTCTTTTTCAGCCAGAAACTTCAATATTCAGAAGTCGGAGGCCATGCTGCGAAAGGTAACAAGTTCAGCTTCTCTGTTGAGTAGGACAGGGCATTTTACAGTGCCTGCTTGTGTAAGGCTCTTGTAGTAGTGCAATAAAAAGCAGGTTCTGAATCGAAAGCAAAGGTGCGTCCATTATCTCTTTTAGTCAATTACTTGTATGTGAAAGTGCAGTTTGCAGCAGCACAGACGAGCCATCAGCTAAGGAGGGGCTTCAGATTAGAGACGGGCCGTGTGATAACGCGTGGCTGTGGGGAAACTGTGTCATCACAGCAGCCTGAGGAGATAAGATATAGATAAAGGGATTAAATGAGTGATTACCAAGAAATAATAAGATGTACCAACACAGTCCAGTGTTTCCCCTAGGATGGAGTCATAGCAGCGGTGCTAAGGCACTCGGGGCGGGCCTAGCTAAATGTGAGCGCGGATCGAAGTGCGCCCCGCCAATATGTTTCTATGTGTCTGCCAGCACAAGAAAGGCTCTTGAGGCTCTGCACGTGTATTTTGCTAAATCACCTTTATTAAACAGACAGTAACACAAATACTACACATCCACATAACAAACAATCAAAATAAAATGTATGCAATTTAATTATTTTAACCTGCTTTATTTATTATTTTACACCCCCAGTGAGACTGTGGCCGTTTCTCAATTACCCCTTTCACACCAAGGCTTTTCCCCTTCTAGCTCCGTGCTAGAGCTTTTCTGGTTCAGAACCGGTTCTTCGGTTTAGCGCCGGCTCTTTTCACACCACTCAGAGCCCGACTGGTGCTGCCGCTGCTGCGTCATGACGTCACAGTTTACGTCGCTGAGTTTCTCCCCAACGGAGCTCACCTCACAACAACAACGGGCCGGGGACTGCATCGGGTCGATGATCGTGTTGCTTTTAATCATACGAAGCCAGATTAAATTAAATAACGACTTCTCCAACCTTATACTTTTCTCCAGAGTGCCGTGGTTCATTGTTTATTAATGTGTTTCAGCGGCATTTAGCGACCGCTGCAGTGCTGCTCGTCCACCGGAGTTTATTCTCCCGTTAGCTCCGGGTTAGCTCACACGGCTCTAAAGTATTCACTGTCTGACTGTCACACAAGCAGCTGATACATATCCCCAGTTCCCCTTAAGTGAATGTGTGTCAGTCTGAATTGACGCTGTTTGGCATCACAACGCTGTTATGAAAGTTTCTCTGGTATAACATGGGTGATGTTAGCATAGCAACCGAAGCTAAACTGACTACTTGCTAAGCCGTTTTCTACTGGGTTTTCTCCCAGCGTGGGAGGCGGGGCCTCATTCATTCCTATGAGAGTTGCTCATTCGCGCATGATGATAAAATGGCCCAACTTTTGAGAGAGCGAAACGTCACAGATTACCCGGCATGCCTGAGAAGTACCCGTATGTGCGCTCATAGCGCATGCGCAACTTTAACCATGCCCCCCAAAATGCTCGTTCACATCAAGCACGTCAATTTGCGTACACGTAACAGCACCGCACGTTCATGACAGCATGGTAATGGTTTGTTATTATGATAGATTTGATATTAACGAGGCGGCAGTTAGCAGCTAGCGGTTAGCTAGTAATTATGCTAATTTACACATCAATCGTTATGTACTTTTATATTACGCTGTAACAGGATCTAGTGATATCCAAGCAACAGAGCTTCATTTAGCATGAAATAATTATTGCACTGTATATATATATATATATATATATATATATATTATATATATATTATATATATATATATATATATATATATATACAGTGCAATAAGCTTCTTAGTGCAATAAGAAGCTACAGGGACGTTAATCTACGTCGGTAATATTAACTTTATTTAATACAACATTTACGGTACAAGATTTAATCTTGTAGTATAATATTTTACAAATGATGAATTACAGCAAACATGTGCAATATATCCATTATTACAGCTCCGTGGGCTGGCAGTAAGGCGATATGGTCCGTTCTTATTGTACATCCATGGGTAAAGATAAACGCATGTAGTGCTGAACACGTAACATGAACGTGCCGGGCGGCGCGGTCCCGTGGGTTAGATGCGCGTTCATAATGCAGAGGGAAATAACTCTCAGAATAACGTTATTAGCACATTCTTACAACTTGAGGAACGAATGTTTTTAATAAGGGCTATACAAGTGTTCATACTGGGTAGTTTATTTAGTTTAAAAAAAATTATCCAACGATTTACAGACCACTCTTTCCCCATGTAAGTCAATGGGAAAAAGTGTTTCCGGGCCTGGCAACCAAAAGGAAGTGTAGTACCGCCGTTTGGCCAGCACGAATATTTTCATCTGAGTCCGGCGCACTTCCTGGGGGCTTGGTTAAATGCCCTGCATTCGGCGCCACTCGATGACGTAGTATGCTTGAAATAGTGGCTCTGCAGCATGTGTACTCGACATTGAGAAATGGCCCGTGTTGGATTTACAGCCACTTACTAAAGCTGCACCAACTGATGTTTGGGGTCTTTACATATATCCATGTTTGAGATGGAAGTACTTTTGCAAGTGAAATACTTTTTAACAACACTTATCCACCAATGAGCTAAAGCACATTGTAGGCTAACATAAGGGAAGCTAACATAAGCAGTGGCTAGTACTTAACATTGTCACTTTTCTTCATTAGCATGAGGCTAATTGTTAGCCAGTTTTACAGTTAACTGAGGTTTCTCTCAGCATACGTTTGCCTTGCAGGCATTTTTTATGAGATTACAGACGAAAAGGGTGTAACTGTAGCTTTGATCTTTGAACAAACCATGACTAACTAACACTCCATCAGAACTTCACCAATTGCTTCATGTTATCTTTTAGAATTTCTTGCCCCAGTATTCAAAATGTTTATGTATAAATAATAAGATGCTTAGCGTATTAAAAATGATCTTTGGTCCCCTTTGATGGTGTGTTTGAGGTTTTAGGCATGTGTTGACATGTACAGTATACCGGTACATTACTGATCCCCTTCCTGCTGACGGTTCAGCTTTAGTTTCACCTGCTGTCTGTCACCTCCTAAGCCACTTAAATCACCACATTGTGCTCAGGCCAATCTGCCACTGTACAAGCAGTCTGTCATCAGGGAACAAAACAACAACCTCACTTGAATGTACTTAAACTTAATATGCACCTGTCTTTTCTTCCAGCATTTGGAGTTCAGGAAACAGATGAAAGTAGATGCAATAATCACCGACTGGCGTCCACCAGAGGTAAAAACTAAACCCTAAACATTATAAACCCCCATTTTATAACGGCTCAACGCTAACTCTTCAATGCTGTTGCTAGCCTGCAAGCAGGCATCAGCCTTTGGTTGCCAAAACTGAATTTTATTTTAATCAACTTACTTTTGAGTATCTAAGATACTCCGTCGTATTACTTAAAAAAACTTGACATGTTTAAACGTCATGTGTCTGTTGTACAGGCTTTGCAGTATAGTTTTCTGTCCAGCTAAAAGGTGCTGGGATACTTTGCCTGCCAAGACTCCCAGTAAAATGTCCTTTTGGTTTTTGTTTGGGTTTATCTGGTTTTATCAAATGCCAGTTGAATCTCTTTGCACTTTTGTTTGGGATGTTGACAGGTGGTTGAACTTTCAACGCACAGAAAAACAACTTCATGTATTTTACCATCATTGATCAATAAAATGTTATTTCTCGAGCCCAATATCACAAATGATACATCTGTCATGGGGGACTTTACAGTGTGTACTGTGTACAAAACCTTTCCTTAAACGCTTAACTCTTGTTACAACATGCAAGGAAACATTCCCAAGGAACCCCACAATTAACAGGGTAAGATGAATAAACCTCTGGCAGAGCAACATAGGAGGAATCTCTTTCCTAAGACAGACAGACATGTCATATATGTTGTGTGTATAGATTAAAAATAAAGATAATAAATGATCCTGATGAGTTGAAAAAGGCTCCTGTGTGATTAAACTCACCGCTGCACATGCGGTGTTGTCTGGGTCTGACGTAACAGCAATATTTAAATATCTATAATGCAACAAACATAATGAATGAAATAATTAAGTACCAGTTTTGATGTTTGCTATTCCCATTTGTTTAAAGTTAAATAGTGGATGCCCTATTGTCAACCCAGAGCCAATGGCAGCCTGGCAGCTGTTACTTTCATTACAGTACACAACTAATGGAACCATCTTAAATGACTGCTGTTTGCAGGTGATAGAGAAGTATCTGTCCGGAGGGATGTGTGGTCACGACCGGGAGGGCAGTCCCGTCTGGTATGATGTCATCGGCCCTGTGGACCCTAAAGGCCTCTTCCTGTCTGCATCCAAACAAGACTTCATCAAGTCCAAGATCAGAGACTGCGAGGTCCTGCAGCAGGAATGTGACGTCCAGTCGCAGAAGGTTTGAGAACACCGACGTAGGACAGAGAACCAGTGCTACTGATCACACTTTTAATGTTTTCTATCTTATTGTATGGTTTCACCAATTTAATTTCCCTGTCTTTCTGTCCCCAGCTTGGGTGGAACGTTGAGTCAATCACCATGATCTACGACGTAGAAGGTCTGGGTCTGAAACACTTATGGAAGCCTGCTATAGAGACATATACAGAGGTATGGAGAGATGCCCTTACACTGTAGATGTAAACCTCACTAAACGTATATTAGAAGTGTACTGTGCGTCACACATTTATGAATTAATGATATGTTTCTCTGTGTCACCAGATCCTCCAGATGTTTGAAGCCAACTATCCAGAAGGCTTGAAAAGGCTTTTTGTCATTAAAGGTACATTTGGCCTTTCATCGATTCATAATTAATTGATTCCACCTGCGGTTCTTTATTCATCTTCTTTTTTAAATAATTGGACCCTGTGTTTGTGGAGCCAGAGTTGATCTTATCACTAGTGAACATTTAGTTAACACTACATTTGTTCTCTTGCAGCTCCTAAACTCTTTCCTGTGGCCTACAACCTCGTAAAGCATTTTCTGAGTGAGAACACGAGACAAAAGATCAATATCCTCGGGGGTAAGACAGAACATCATATTTGAGAGAATATTGCACAAAATGGAAACACTTCACCTCCCTTGTTTCTGATGAAATGCCCGTTGTTGTTCCTGCAGCTAACTGGCAGGAGGTTTTAATTAAGTACATTGATGCAGAGGAGCTGCCGGTGATATACGGCGGTAAACTGACGGATCCTGACGGAGATCCTCGCTGTCGCACCATGGTGAGTCTGTGAATCAGAGCCTACAGCCTGTAACATACTGACATCACTATGTAACACACGCGCTTCTATTGGCTAGCGCTCCTACACATTGCACGTGATAGGCTAAGGGCCAGGACATTTCCTACACTTTGCTAAGCCGTTGACCAATCACAACAGAGCCGGCCAGCTAACCAATCAGGGCAGACTGGGCTCTGGTTTCAGACAGAGGGTGAAAAGAGGTGCTGCAGCACAGGCAGTATGAGAAATGGAAACATGTCACAGTGGGGGCACAAAACAAACATATGAACCTGAAAATGAGCATGATATGTCCTCCATGAAAATAATATTGAACATTTCATGCCTTGTTGTTTTTTTTCACATGTTTGGATCATGTGCTCATGTAGTTTGGCAGCTTACAGCTTTGCTTTAGTCAGGGACTGCCTGGCTAGCATGCTTGCTATGTATATGAAATGTTTTGGTAATGCAACGCCACATTCAGGCTCCAAACTGAACACAGTGGATCAGACGTTCTCTATAAAATGTGAACGCTGCCGTCACTGGCTGTGGTGAGGCTCCTGTTACACATGAATAAGCCAGTTTGATCACAGAAGGTCAATGACAAAACAGGACATTACTGGACTGGCAGAATGAATCAACGTTGCCAGTTGCATTGAACTATTGATTTGCTGCACAGGAAATTGCAGATGACAAATGAATTGTAATAACTCCCACTTCACGCCGCACCCCTGCCTCGCTGCGTAGAGATGGTAACAGCCCTCAGCACGAGGGATGTAGTATAGAGCGACACATGCAGAGCAGCTTGGGTAGTCGCGCTTATAGACAACGCTTTAGACAACGCTTTAGACGAGAAAACTGACCGTGCGTTTGTCACCGTTTCCGTAGATTAAAAATTGGGCGGAGGAGAAATGAGCAACAGGAAGAGAGAAATTCATTACGGCTGCATTCAAGATTCAAGGAATTGAGATGCTCGGCCTCTAAGTGTTTTCTTTTTTCTACCCTTTTTTAAAAATCTCCCTTAGCTACCTGTGTCTTGAGACTGTATTATATTAGTTTGGTCGTAGGAACTCGAGTTATCATAATAAAGGAACAGTGTGGCATTTGGGAAATGCGCCCATTCTCATGCTTTGTTAACATGAGTTGGATTAGAAGATTGAGCTTACACTTATGTCTGTTAATCGTATGTAAATATGAAGCTAAAGACAAGAGACAACTAGCTTACAGCCTAGCACAAAGGAATGGAAGTGGTGGGAAACTGCTATACTGCTAGTGATTCAAGGAGGCCACAGCACCTGGCTAAAATAGTCCCACATGTCACTCAAACACAATTAATCAATGTTACACTAGATTTCTTTGGGAGTAGCCAGGCTATTTATTTTACCGTTGTTCCTAGCTTTAATGGTGCGCTACGTTTACATTGAGTACATTTCCAAAATGACGAGTTGTTCCTTTAAGAGTTGGGCATAATTTATGGGCCTGAATAAATACAATTATATTATACAACTTGTTTGGAAATTTGATGTGAAGATAACTTTTTGGTAGAGTTCAGTGAAACATTGATCAGTCACATCATCAGTGTGCATTTTTCTGCATATTCAGGACTCATTATTGTCGGTTTTATAGCAAACATTTTCTGTTAATATCATAGGAGGATCCTGTCTGTTTTGAATTGCAGTGATGTGAAGCACGGAGGCCCCTATAGAAATATAATATTGCTTCTTTAAAACAACCATCAAGCCTTATACATCTTGTACGGTAGGTTTTTCCTCACGCTTATCCTCGTAGAGGTTTAGTGAAATCTCTGCACTGTAAAGAATTTAAAATCAATAGATGCCCAATAATGTGTTGCTCTATAATGGACTATATGACAATGCGGGTGTTTTTGTATATTTTCTTTTTTGTGAGGTTGTTTGCAAGGAGTTTGACTTCCCTTATTTCCCTTAGCTGTGTCTGACATCTATAATATATACACTATCTGTCATTCTGGATTGAATTCATCACACTCAGGACATCTCTGCCCCCTGTTGGGTGCTTCCCAGTACTGCACTGTGTAGTGTATTACTGGGACCAAGTTGATTAGTTTGATATTTATGTGAATAAACAGTAAAAAAGAGGATTTCTTTTGTGCATAATATTTTAAATAACAAGCATTCAGAACATGTCTCGAAGTAAGTGATGGCTTTCATTTTTTTTACATTTCATATAATCACGTTTTTGACATCCGACTGACTGTTTATGCACTCGTTGCAGATACACCACGTGAGCCCTGTCCCCCCCTCCTACTACGTGCGGGACCATGTGAAGATGGAATACGAACAATGTACCACGGTCAGCCGAGGGTCCTCCCAGCAGCTGGACTATGAGATACTGTTCCCGGGCTGCGTTCTCAGGTCAGCTGCACGCGACATGCTTTCTGACTGGCAGCAGTGGTGTTCAGTCATTTAGAGCTGAGGAAATGACTTGATTTACTCATTAGTTTATTAATAAGCAAATATTCACTGAATACAGCTTAAAGGATTTGTGTATTCGCTGCATACCTTTAATTGAACATCTCTGAGTTTTAGTTAGACCAAACAAGAAGCTTTTTGTGATCTTACGTTTTTTTTTAACTGTGCATTTTCACTATTTTCTGACATTTTACTGACAAACAATTAATCAGTGCAAAGAAATGACAAGTCCAACAAGTTGTTACTCATAGCAACTATAATAATAACAAGCGAAGCCAACAAAGAGTGCCACAAGTAATCTGAGATGAACAGCCTTTACACCGAGTACTAATCTCTTTTTGAATGTAAATCTGGAGAGTGCATAAAGCCTTTTTACACAAAATAATGTTGTTACATATAATTAAGTTAAGTTGTATTGATAGCTATATCTTTAAGATATATGAAGCTGATTAAGCATCACATGATTTTTGATTTTTATATTTTATTGTTGCAATTTATTTATAAAAACAAAAAAGCTGTATTCACGATAATTATTAAAAGCGCATATTTATCAATATAAGAGAAGAATAAGGAGCATTAATTGTTTCAATGATAAATTTGATTGTGCTACCTCTTAAAGTTACTTATTTTAAGCACTTTCCAAAAAATTAAATAAGGTTTTTTTCATTAAAGTCACCCTTTTCCAACCAATATTTGTTATCACAGTGAGACTAGCACAATCAAATTAATCTTAACAGATACATGCATATTTATTTTCTTTGTGTTGTGGTAATGTCAGGCCTAGGCTAGGAAACACAAGTGCTTTCAATGGTGGTGCTTTTGTATTCATCATCATCAGCTTTATTTAAAGAGACTCTTGGTCCATTATTATATTATATATTATTGTAATAGAATCAGGTCTGAGAAAAAGTCAAAGCAGTGTTAAGGAGAACCTTTTCCTTCTCATCTCCATAGATGGCAGTTTGCCAGTGAAGGTGCAGACATTGGGTTTGGGGTGTTTGTGAAGGCTAAAAAGGGCGAAAAGAAGAAGGCAGCTCAGATGGAGGAAGTGGTGCTCAGCCAGCGATACAACGCTCACCTAGTGCCCGAAGACGGATCACTGACCTGTGAACGCCCGGGAGTCTGTGAGTAACCCAACACCCTGCATTCACCGGAGCTCAGAACTGTACAATGTGCTGTCTTAGAGGAGAGTAAGGTACATGTACTGTTCTCTTTTTTCTTCCGCAGATGTTCTGAGATTTGACAACACGTACAGCATGTTTCAGGCCAAACGAATCAGCTTTACCGTAGAGGTCCTGCTACCGGAACGCTTACAGTCCCCACAGAGAAACGGCAGCTCCAAAAACACCACCGTGCAAGCTGAGGGCAACAGCCAATCATAACCGAGAAGATGTGCCACTTCCATGTTGTTGGATAAAGCACAGCCTCACATACTTGAGTTAAAAAGGAAATGCAACATGCTGCCATTATCCAAAAAGTATTTCAATAAGTCAGGTTCTTGGTGTTCAACCGTTTTAATCATTTTTAATGAAGTCATGTGTTGTCAATTTAGAAACATTAGTTAAACCACAGGTGGGATAATATGACCAAAGGTATATGGACACCCCCATACACACATTTTGGGGCACTTATTATGGCTTCATGGCTTTCATGGTTTGGACTAAGTTTTGATTCATAGAAAGGAAAATGCAAAACAAACAATAGTGTTCTTCCAACTTTGTGGTTACCGTTTATAGAAATGTCCCCATGCACAAAGACCAATAAAGGAGTCAACTAAATGCAAAGTGCATTCCAGACATTACTACTCAACATCAGTGTTGGACCTCACTAAAGCCTAAAACCAGAGTAAATGCTGTTTTAGCAACAAATAATGTTCTTTGCTTTAAAATAGGATATTAGACTTTAGACAATTACACATGGGTGTCAACATTCTTTTGGCCATTCAGTTAATGATTGATTTTATTGTTGGTAGGAAACATGTGAACCTTTGGATACTGATAGCAATTAGGAGGAATTTCCATAAGGAGAAATGTGCTGCAGTTTAAAAAATATTGCAAATATAAAAAAATACAATTGTGCCAAAATGATTGCAAATGAAGGAACATCTTCACCAACTTGATGAAACACACACAGCTGCAGAAAAGAAAGGCTGCAAATCCAAAAGGCTGCTAGAAGCTCAAATCACAACAGAAACAGGGACACTACAAAGTGATGCACACAGCTGGGACCGAAGCATCACTTACAGTGCAGCCCATTTCTCCTTATGGAAGTGTTATAGGCTGTTGCAGCGCGTTTGCATCTGTTGGTCACTGTAGGCTATAGCGACCTATTTTAGCTGCTACTAGCATAACAAAATCTAATCAAGATGGCGACTGGTTTTGAGAAGGAAGAAGAATACTTGGCATTAAAAAATACTATATATTTGTCAATGTTGTAGGAGTGCAATGCTACATCTACAAAGATCCTCTTATGTGTTGACCGTTCATAGTTTTATTAAAGGACACCAAGTGAATCAAGTCACCAGAGAGAAATATTATTTAATTCTATGCACAAAATCAATTTTCTGTACATGGTTTGTGGCATAAATAGTTATTTTCCATTACAGCCATTAACAGTAAAGGCATTCCAGTCTATATCAATATTTGTTGTTCCAAGAATATTAATATGTTTGTTTTACGCCTAAAAGAAAAAAAAAGAAATCTAGAAATGAATATACCTTTTATATAGCCTACCTCTTTTTGCCTTAATGTTTGCTTAGAAATATTGTCGAATTAAAGTTGCACTGAACATTAATTTAACCTAATTACACATAATTCAATTAAGTTGTATTAATCTTGAAAGCTGTTGACATTCAATTGCATTCCCTTGACATATAATCAATGCACTTTCATGGTTGCAACATTACTTTAAATATTTATTTCTTCATTCCTAATTTATTTACAGAAAATCGGTTGGGGTTTTTATTTTCTTTAATATAATAGCAAAAATATTAAAGTCTATATATACACTGTACATTATATGATTAATCAGATACACACACACTATTCATGGGAACTTGTCTGCAGTGAATTTAATGAAATATTTTACCCTCTCTTGAAAATGACTGAATGTAGATTGTGGCAGAATAAAAGATTTTCACATTATTTTCGTTTACATTTTGTACAATTCTCGGGCGACTTTTAAACATAAAGAAAATATGCTCTCTGTTATGTCTGTACTGTCCAAATTGTGTTGAATATTTTCACATGATGAAGAAACTATAAAAACAATTGTAGGAGAAGTAAATAAATGTGTTAATACACTTAAAGGTGGGGTATGTTATTTATTTCAGAAACACTTTTTGTTATATTCCATGGAATGCTCTTAACATTCCGATAGCAATGAATATATGAAATGCTTTGACAAAAAATCCATACAAAAATGTCATCTGTAGAAGCCGTAGCGCTGTAAAAAGCACGACCAATCATTTTAGCCGGCCCGGCTAAAATAACTGGATGGCCTACCTGCCTGTCAGCCTTCCATCTGTGCACACACTTATCTCGTGCCCTCATTGGTCATTTGTGCGTTCGTGTGTGTTGGAGGAGGGGCTCTGTAAGGAAGTGGCAGATTTTCTCCGGCTGTGTATTTTCAAATTCTAACGCACTCGAGCTGGTTTCTCCAAAATTACCTACCCCACCTTTAACATCCCTGCTGAATGTTTTTTTCTTCATGAAAGACTCCTTGAAACAACCATTAAAACACATCACTGTATTATTTAAACTTTTTTTGCATCAAGGGTATGTGACAGTGAGGAAAACAATTAAAATGGGCGGCAGTAATACCAGCGGTTTATGTGTCTGGATGTAGGTGACACAAAAATATTTAAAAAATGTTTTGGAATTAAATAACATGAAGAAAGCCCCCGTTTCTCATTTGGAGTTGTACTAATATGACAATCAACGTCTTACAATAGCTAGGGATAAAATCAAAGCAGCAGGTAGGCTACACCCATGCCTGCAAAAGGTGTTCACAATATAGCCTAGCTAGCGAGTTAGCAAACAGAGGAAAAGTCTAATAATTCAGTCTCCTCTCAGCTCTTAAGCTCCCCCACCTTGTGTTGATTCATTATTTAACCACAAACTTTATTGTATAGCCAACCAATATCTTAATGTGTGCTTTTATCTTAATGTGTGCATATGTGTAAATGTGTCTGTTGATTGTGTAGGATATACATATGTTATACATATTTTTATACATATCTGTATATTGTATAATTTTATTTTCGTATTTGGGATTGTTGGAAACGTCATTTCGATCTCTCTGTCTGTAAACACAAACTGAGTAAGATTGACATTAAAGTTGACTTTGAACTTTAATGCTGTCTGTGATTTGAACACAAGAGGGAGCTCTCTAAGCAGTGTTGACAATGTTCAAACCCCTTAGTTTAGCAAGTAGCTGAGGCCCTCCACACAGGTGTTCCACTTATTGCTAATTAGCCCAATTTACTAAAAGCAACGAAGAGGTAAACTTTGTCCTTGTAAAAAATAAATGAATAAATAGGAAATTCGAGTGAAATAACAAAACCAAAAAAACAACAAAAAAATACATTCAGAATAGGTGCTGGTAAAAATATGCTTTAAGATACATTTTCAATGATGACTGACTCAGCAAGTCCTATGCAAAGTCTTTGTAGAGGCAGGGATGGAAAGGGTAATGGATTTTTCTCAAGTTGAAGTAATGTTACTTTAAAAATGTTTACATGTAGAATATTTGTAAAAAATGTACTTGGATTAAAGTATAACATTAAAGGAGACAATGCATGTAGAATTTAAAACATTACGAAGGCAGAGACAAGGACGTGTTTAAAATTGAATCTCCAATGAGGCTGCAGCTACTGTAGAAACACACATTTTAAAGCAAAACGTGATGCTGTGTTAAAAAAAAGTAACATTCATCAATAAGATGTTGTTGTACTCACCGGTACGAAGACATTGTGGGCCTTGAGACGGTGCAACTTTTCTGCTTGATCTCAAGTTCTGAGCACTATAGTCTCTCAGCGTCCCTGCTGTCATACTGATCTCCTCACTGAAGGTAAAATAAGTACTCGGCCGGGCCGGAATGCCCACTACACGACACGACTAGGCCTCAAAACGGTCGCAGTTAGGACTTTGAGGCACCCAAACTACTTGGTAAATTAGGGTCTTAAAACATTTTGTTTAAGTGTACACTGTAAGAATAGCCTTTTGTCAAAATCGGTTAAAATCATATACAGTTTCTAGTTAAAATCATCTTATTCCCAGAAGTGGGTCTGCAAAAACTGCAGGTAGACCTTTCCAGTAAAGTAGTATTTAGCTTGTTAGCCAGACCCAGATGTAACATTTCCCCCCTTATTTTAACCTTTAGTGGTACACAATTATTAATTATATTATTCTTTTTAAAAGATTTGTGAAGCACAATACTTGTGTTTTTTAGGTGTAGGCCAATACATTTGGGGGTCTATCTTTTTTACTTTTGATCTGTTATGTTAATACAAAAATACACTGGTAAGCGATTGATATATCCAGATCTGAGACTTATGGGAACATAATTGTATTTTAGTGAACAAAGGACAGGACCAACTGCATTGATTCATAAATATTTTATGTACAAAATATTGTTACAAGTATATTCAACATAATGTCACATTAGAATAATGATAACTACTTTAAATACAGTTGATCATTCTTCATATTTCCCAGTACATACAGGAAAAAGATCACAATTCTAGGTGACTTTGTATACAATAAATACATGCTCTGGTCGTAGGCTTTTTTTTTTTTTTTTACAAATGTACAGTTAGTTTTTGAACATAGTGCAAGAGTTCAGTTGTCCCTACAGCTGTGGCCATTGTAAAATAACAATAGCTTACACATAAATATGTTGGTTCAGTTTAATACGGCAGAATCCGTGACAAAACTAATTTCCATTTCATTTATCTGAATGACCAAACAGATCTTCTTGAGTTTGGAGCAAAGTGCAGCTACTTTTGGCAATCGTGCAGTAAGCATTGGCATATCTACAATGGCCACTTCTGTCTGCAAACAAAATATTGATGAGAGCTTGCCGAACATGGCTGAACACTTGCGTTCCTTGGCACGTAGTAAACATACAAGAGTGTGGAACAAACCTAGTTAGTCTTCAGTCAATTTAACAACCTGCCTGCATGTTTTTTTCATCCAGATCTAAGTTTGTAGTGTGTTTAATGCAATAACACCAATCAAATATCCACAAACATATGATTGGTAAAGTATGTGCATGCATGGCAAGGCTGTACGACTTACTGTGAGTTCTCATCCAATTAAAAATTGCAAATACAGACTAATATTACATTCTTAGAGGTCCATTTCTGTTCCTCCATAACATGTGTTCACATTATCTAACCCCTTTTTACATTAAGAGCAGGTTGCAGGTAAACAGAGTCTACAGTCACAGTTTGACACATGGCAAAAACAGAGAAGAGCTAAATTAAAAACGTATGACTCTGCATTTCTTCTCAGCTGAACTATGTTCAGCTGGCCACAGTTCAGAGGTCTGTCAAATATTTTAAACAACTCTACTATAGTTCTTCGCTTTCATAGAAAATCTAGTTTTTTAACTTCACAAGTCAATGTTGTATCCATTCATGTTTGGTTCAAAAGTGGGCTGAGCCAAAGGGTATTTAGTTGGTTGCAATCTGCAACCTGCAACACTCAATTCAAATCCTCCACACCGTCACTAAAGTCTGAGCACGATGTACACTGAGCTAGCTACGATAGCTTGCAGGATTTCATTTTTTAAGGCTATGTATTTCAAATGATTTTATCTCAGTATTTCATTTCTTCGATTTTACCAAGGTTTTAGATTTTCCTTCTGGTAAAAATATTTCACATGCATCTTGACAGACTTCTTCCTGGTTCAGCTACATGAAAAATATGACTGTCTGAGGGTATTTTCTAGCGAAGCTTCGCATCAACTCTCCAGAAACGCTGCAATTTAATAACATGCACTCTCTGGATGGACGTATCCTGAATATCTTTATTTCTGTAACGTAAACGTGTTGCTACAAGTGCCAATTTGCCTGAATAAGGACTTGTGATGCATTCACTGTGTGTGAAAGTTAATTTTATCATCAAAATCGAGTAAAACACGATCCTGTTTTGCTGTTTTATTTGGCTCTATTGTTAAGCTCCATTGTTAAGCACAGACATTTGTTCATTCAATTTCACTTTTTTGGGGGAAAACAGTGGCTACCAGATTAAGCAGTGTCCGACTGTCAGGAGTCACCAATCTGGGATTACTTCCTCCAACTCACTTTCCTCTCATGTCATAAATGATTTATGATCGTTAAACATTAGTCCTTATGAGCTCTCAGAAGTAACGACTCAGGTCCATGCAGTTTTAGGCAGGGGTTGACTGGCCATGTGGAATAGCGAACATTTTCCTGCTGGTCGCCTTGCTATTTTGGCCGACACAACCATCTTCTTTTTTTTTCTTCTCCCTGAATCCCCATAAAACAGGTAAGACGGCCCATTGTTTGTTTTTTATCCAATTGACACTGGGCTGACCCAATCACATATTTGTACCTTCCCCCTTTGGACTCAGTAAAACAGCACATCTGCATAACAGGCCAAAATGGAGAAGAAACAATGCAAGAGGGGCCGCCTTGGACATAGCCCTGGACTTTTCAAACCCTTTAAGCATATTGCTGCTCAGAGAAACTCAGCCAGTGGCTCCTCAAGTCTCCATCTAGTAACCATAGTTACTGGTAATTGCGTTTCCAGGGTATATTGTTGTTATGTAAGATTATGTGAATCTTGACATAAAGCTTAATATGAGCTGATATGCATTCGTCTTCAGGGCATAACAACCTATCAAAAATAAATGGTAGGCAGGTCTGGGCTAAAATGCCAGAGCAGAGTTTTTTTGTCTTAGTCCACCCCTGCTGTCAGATAGACGGAGACAATGTACTTTGTTTGGTAAAGGCTGTGGATAAGCATCTCGGATCACCAACAGATGACGGGTTTAATTTGCTACAGGCATACAAAATAGTCCGTCATCAGGATTAGAAGATTGGTGCTGATTGTGTTCTTCTTTTTCAACATTTTGAGAAAGCATCTCCTTCCCAAAATGTGCCCTTTGAATTAAATACATTTCCTTGTTACCATAGCTATGACAAATTGTCGACTTACTTCTGTCTTTTGAGGATCTCCTCCATGTCAGAGGCTCTAATGGTCTGTGTTTGCTGAGATGATATATGAAAAGTGCTCATAAACAACATACAGAACCACATAGCCCTGACTCTACACCCTGACCATGCTCCATGTCAGTTTCACATTTTCACAATTTCTTTGTTCTTCAGTCAGCATCTCCGCTCATCTGCCCTCCTCCACAGGACGAGTTTCAGATTTCAGCTTGACGAACTCTTTGGCCACTTCGTCCGCAGGCCGCTGGGACAAGATGCGCATCACCGTCAGGCCCGTTTCGTCGGTTTGGACGCGCGGGCCGATCGGACACCAGCAGACGCAGCTCTTGCGGTCAGCGATGTCCCGGAGCTGGATCACAGCCATGCCCACCACCCGGTCCACCCGGCCGAAACAGTAGTCCTTCACCGTCATCTGGAGCTCATAGCAGTCCGGGGACTCCTTACCCAGGACACTACAGAGCAGAAAGGATAATCGAGAATTGGCCTGAAAACACTGAGCTTATTTGTAGGTGTAAGAGTTCACAATTAAAACTCACAACTGGAAAGCCTCGTTGAACTTCGCCGACCAGCTGTTGTTCTTGGACTTTGTGGTGAATTTGCGCTTCTTGTCGGCCAGGAAGGGACCGACCATGGAGACGTCCACGAAAGGCCGGAACATCCCTGATGTCTGCCACTTCATGTCATTCACTGCGATGACTGGACGGACAGAGGAAGAGAGGCAGTGAGGATGATGGTGCCATCAGATGATACAATTAAGTGTTTGTGGTTGCATGTGTAAATATATATATTTTATTCTCTTTTGATCCAATTGAGTATGTATGTGCCCCATTTGCATGACTATTTGTCAGTTCTAAAGACAAGAGGGCCTAACAATGATATAGTAAAAGTATTTTTTCAATAGAGTGGTGCAGTGACGAGTCCTAAAACCCGGAAGTGAGTTAGCATTTTACCACTACCGGTTCCCTCGTCTCAGTCAACGGGATTTCTCCATAGGATTTGGGAAAATAGCTGGAAATAAGGTCTGTGGTTGAGACAAATTTAAGAGACGGATCACGTTCTGTTCTACGACATTAAATCCATCAGCAGTGACCCCCACTGGTGATTTCTGAAGAGTTTACGTGTCTGAAAAATGATGGTTGTTAACATGTGGCTGAATAGGACTACAGAAGTTGTCGAGGCCGTTGTACGTCATTACACCGAACACGTAAACACTCCCGCTCAGTTTGTTTGCACCTGTTCTGCTTGAAAGCAAGTACCTGCCTCCTGCAAACTGTTAAAACAAACGCTTCAACTTGTACCATTTTGAATCTGTATTTTTGAATATCGATCTTAAGTTGGCGTGACGTTGAAGCAGCGACCCTGCTGAAGTTAGTTTATAGCATAACTTTAGCATTTTGCTTCTGGCGATTAGATTTATGATTCGAAAATTATAAAAGTAGGGTAGACATGTGGAGATTATCCGGCTGAACAAAACGTGCATTTATCCAACAGGTTCGTTTTCCACAGACCTTATTTCCAGCTCTTTTCCAAAATCCTATGGAGAAATCCCATTGCTTTTTTGTCGAGGGAACCCGAGCGCAGCTTACTTCCGGGTAAATACGTCATCCCTGCACCACTCTATTGCTGCCTTATTTAAAGGACCATGTTTTGAATGTTTCCTATAAAACTATTAAGAGCCAATCTCCTTGCATTACTGATGACAATCAGTCTGTTTTAGTTCATTTTTAAAAAGGTATTGAAGTATTGAACCCCGCAAAGACCTAAGACTTACATAAGATATCTTGGTGTCTTTATTTATTTTGATTTAGCCTTTTCAAATAACCAATCCTTTGAAATAAAATCTATAATTGAGCCAAAAATAATGACTCTAACGGCCCGTTCGCCGAACTGCATTGTGGGAAGCGAAGCTGATCTTTGCTGGCGTGGCTTGCTGCAAAAGTTGAGCAATGTTCAACTTTTGAAGCCTCGGCAGAAGCGTCAGCCAATCGAATCATATGCCAGTACAAGCTCTAGCCAATCAAACCGCTGCTTGTTTGTCAGGGGCGGGAGATTCATGTGATTGGTTGTTGGTCGAGTTTCAGACACGCCCGCTGGCAAGCTTCAACGCACGCCGCTGTGTGGACGGGCCGTTAATGTTTGTTTGGCTTCAAAGTTCAGCCTTGATTATAAAAAATGTACCTTGAGGTTACAGAAAATTACAAATATGAACCTGAAAATGAGAATAATAGGGCCCCTTTAAGGACAAGCACTTGAACACAGAAATACAAGGTATAAACAACTACAAGTTAAGACATACAAAACAAACAGTTTGGTCCTTTAAAGGCACAATTGGAGATTAGGTGTGGGACAGTATGTAGTTTAGATATTTAAGGTTGCAGCTTAAACATCAGGGTTTAATTGTATTTGTTCGTGCATTTGGATCTGATGACTCTCACCTTTCACAATGATTTTGCGTTCTTTTCCGAGCATCATGTCGATCTGCAGTATGGCCTCTCCAATGGGCTTCTCTATCCCCGAGCCTGCAGAACACAACCACCACGACACACATTCACATGACTAACAACAGCTTTTAATCCTCATATTTATGCCAGTGCTGCTGCATTGAGCCACTGTGTTATTTAAAATTTATATATAATAATATTATATTTCAGCTTTCGTAAAAGTTGCTAAAATACCTTTTGCTATAATAGAGCATCATGACGCTAATTTGAAATGTGACATACATTTGTTGTCACAGCATAACAAACGTGTGCTCTGTAGAAGATTAGAAGTAGGAAACATGTCATCACATCAAGTCCAAAAAGTATATAGAAAGCTTTAGTTTATATTTCATGAACCTTTAATATTTAGGTGTTTCTCCAGATTTCACTGAGGAGTATTTATCTCAAAAGAAGCTCTATGGTTATGATTATAGAGCCTTTATTTCAGACTGATGCAGAGAGCAGTGGACTTACCCCTATCAGGTCGGATCTTCTCATTTCCAGTGATCCTGATGCCCATCCCATCATGCACTGTGAGGACAGGAGAGAGCAGGAATGTTAAGGACACTCTTTACCAACCCCAAATCCTGTAGACTGTGCATGCAGTGTGTATGTGTGTGTGTGTGTGTGTGTGTGTGTGTGTGTGTGTGTGTGTGTGTGTGTGTGTGTGTGTGTGTGTGTGTGTGTGGTCACCTTGGGAGTGCTGTGTGGTGACAAAGGTCTTGATGAGAGCGTCGGTGCTCTGGGAGTAGAGGGAGAGGGCGTAACGCAGTGAAGCTAGTTCAGGACTTTTCTCCACGAACGCCTTCTTCAGCCCGTTTCCTCCTGCGTGGAAGTATTGCTGTAAGAGAAGAGACAAGAAGCATGAAGGAGAGAAAGTAAACATTTAAGGTTGAAAGACTGATAATACACTTTGTGAGGGTTTTCCCTTTCCTGTAGTGTGTAATATTTTCTCTCTAACTTTGAACTATGTCATGCATGTTTAGAGATGCCAAAGAATTGTACAAATGTCTCGAAATTGCCCAGTCTAAATGCTGCTGGTTTGTGTGTGTGTTTTTCATGAATTTACATGTGAATGTGCAGGTCTCCACTTACCTTGATGGTCTCCAGCCCTGCGTCCATGATTATACACTGTTTGGGCGTCAAGGTTTTGGTTTCACCCCCTCCCTGCAGGAACCAGAGTTCACAGACTGACATCAGACACACTTTCCTTAAGGGCAACACTCAAATAAATAAATAAATACAATTGAATCCTTCTTATGTGTCTTCAGAAGGCTACAAGTGGCAATTCTTTTTTTACTGCATGTGTTACCTTGAGACTGGACAGTCCTTTAGCTGCTGTGAGGAGCTGGGCACCCTGGAGAGAGAAAAAGACGGTAAATAAAGATCACCGTGAGACTGCTTCCAATCATTCATGCTTCATTGTTTGTCACATTTCTCTCTACAGAAGAAAAACTGCTCGGATTCAACACGATCAACGTGTTCACAGAAGAAATCAAACTGGAGAATTTGCTGCCATCCGCCACTGGGTGTCAGCACAGCTCAACATATTCTAATAATAATATCACAATTGATATCTGCAGATTGACTTAACCCCCTTCCTTAGTGCTCTGACGATCCCATTGATGACAGTCAAATGCTTTTTGCTATATGTGAGTGCAGGTAGCTGACAATGAATGCCTGAGCTTTGCTTTGAGGAGACACAATACACTTGATAAAATAATTAATAATATAAGTATATTTATGTCTTAGGAGTAAACCATGTGTTGATGCAAGACCATGTGAATGCAGGTGTTGCTATAGTTACACAGGAAAACATGCATAAAATAAATTCACACTGAAATCCCTCCCACACCCTTACTTCTAGCCGTCAAAATGTGTGTATTTTTGTATTTGTATTTGTATTATTTTGACATGTAAACATGTCACAGTAGAGGCACAACATACAAATATGAATCAGGAAATGAGCATAATAGGGCCCCTTTAATACTTCTGCCCGAATGACCGCAAATATATGGTTATTCCTATATATTATATATGATCTAAAAGAGTCTGAAATCCACCTTGCAGGAACCCTGCTTTTGGTAAGTCTGTGCTTTATAAAGAGTTTGGCAGCTGGTTTTCAGAAACTGTAATAAGAATATTTTTGTTCAATACAGCCCCAGTCTGCTGCTCCATTACCACAGGAGCAAAAACATAACAACAAAGGGAATCAATGCAGCAAAACAACATCATTTACTAAAAGGGTTGGCAACAATAAGCTAGTCTATGTGATTTGTAAAGAATGGGCAAGTACACCTCCAAATATTGTCTTTGAAAAACTCCCTCTCTGCCCTCTGAATAAAACAATTAGTATGTGAAGCTGGAATCCTGATGACTGTCAATACATTTTACAGAAGAAAATAAATGAGGCATATTGATTACTCATCAAAAAAACGTTTTTTCCATTGTGTTAATGTTCTTTTTGTTCTAGCTTTGTAAGGGCCAGATTTGACTGAGATTTGTGCAGCAGAGGACAGGTTTTGACGAGTAAGAAAAATGTGCGGAATTAAAAAGATGACACCTCTAATTCTGCTTTATTGATTCTGATCCGTCTTTCTTTCTTTAACCTGCCTTTAGTGAGTCTGACGATGTTATAAGAGTGCAGTACTCTTGTTTAAGGTGAGAGTGAGTTTAGTTAATGGTGTGGGTAAGGCGGGATCTAGTTGTGCTGGTTGAGGTGAAGGCTGTTCTTACCAGACTGTCGTTGCTCTGCGGCAGGACGATGGTCTTCTCCAGGCTGCTCAGCACCATCTTCCACAGATCCTTCAGGATCCTCTTCAACACTGACTTCTCACAGACGTCAGCAAAGATACTGAGACTGGACACAAACAAACATAACATGTGAGCTAAAACTACAGTCTTCATGAAATACGAGATCAAGTCTGAAATGTATCTTGCTTCACAATAGCTCCATTTGCAGCATAGACGAGGACACATATTAGGACAAAGATACAAGGAGAGAAACATTCAAACACATCTCAAGAGCACTATGATCACTCCTCTCAACCACTTTGTTTACGCCAGGTTGGTGCAGCAAAGTGTTTGGTAACACTATATCGTCAGAATACCAGTCGTTCTTTCTCATAACAAAACGCAAAGGAAACGGGGACACTAAAATGTGACGCACACCACTGGGACAGGAGCGCTTGTAGGGGATTATAAAGTTAGCCAACTGTCACTGGAAAGTTACCTAAAATGTACATTTTAATCGGCTTACTGTATTTGAACAATGTCATCGCATGATTCCTTACCATATTATTGCAGATCTGCTGTAAGCTAGCTAGCTAACGCAGCTTACCTAGTCATTTCAAATATACTGACAAACACTTACAATTATTAAACAGACTAACTCTGCCAACAGTTACATTGACAGTGAGAACAATAATATGGTTATCTTTACCCATTTTTAGACACAAAACACTTAAGTTTTACCATTAAGTGTGTAAGGTGCACAAAACAACACATGACGTTCAAAACATAATAAGATACACATATCAACCCCATATTAACAATTAATGACAAATAGAGACGCGTATGTTTAAAAAGAGCCTCAGTAGATTATGAACGTTTGCAACCATTTCCTAGTTTCGACAATAATATAAAAACCTTCACCAAGGTTGTTTCCATGGTGAATAAAAAAGCAAACTGTTAATGCCCCGTGATACGAAGCTGCTTTCATTTTTTTATTTTCTTTGCCCATGACTACGGCTGAGAGTGCTATATAAATGCCTTCACCTTGGGTTCAAATCTAACATGTCGGTGTATCCTTGGGCAAAATAGTTAACCAAGTGGCTCCTGATGGAAATGTGTGAATGATTGGGCGAATGATGGCTTCTATATTTAAAGCGCTTTCAGGGGTCGTAAAGACTTGATAAAGCGCCATATGAATGCAGTCCATTTACCATTCTTTACCAAACCCAAAAAAAAAAAAAACCTCCATTGCAGAAAAACATTGGGTCAGATCACCTCCTTGTTTGAGTTTGTTCTAGTTAGAGGTTCTAAGGAAAGTGAACCTCTTATTGGTGCTTTAACAAACCAAGTATAGTAGAGATCCGATCCTGTGTATAGCTTCTTCTCGCAGCATACAACTGGAGTCACTGTGTGTGTCACACTCTCACTTACTTCCCATCCAGGAACTCCATGAGGGGCCTCAGCATGTTGTCAGCGTCTGCCTCTGCAGTGTTGTGGTTGGGGGGGGCCTTTGATCTGGTAGAGGAGCTCAGCCATCTGACGCATGCAGCCGTTAATACGAGCCTGGAAGCTGGAGGGAGAGACAAACTTAGACGAGAAAACTTCTGCAGGCCTGATAGAGGCTAGTTCCTCAGACATGCATACAGGTCTGTGTGTGTGTGTGTGAGCGTGTGTGTGTTACCTCTTGGCAAATCCCATGCTGAAGTTGTCCAGAAAGGTGTTTAGCTTCACCTGCAGGTCATTAAGGATGTCGGCTGCCTCGGTATCCAGCTGCAACACACACATAACGGAACAGGAGGAAAAAGTGATAACAGGTTTATTTCAAGTCTTTACGATCAATTATTTACAGCCTGAAATAGAAAGCTACATGTCAACAGCAGTTAATGCATACAGTTCTAGTCCTTTGCAATTTCTCTTGGGAGGCCAATCAGAGAGGGGCTACAGACACACAGAGGGTGAATATAGGTGCATTCAGCAAAGAGAATGATAAACATAATGTTAATGCATGTCAACTTTCATATTAAACTAATATTAGACCAAAATGCAAGTATGCGTCAGTAAATGGGCATCACATGACCCCCTTGAATGGAAATAACTGTGTCAGTGTTCTGTCTCAGGTTTTCTGGGACAGGTCTGCTTTTGTCCCCAGGGTCCAAACTAAACACTAACCCTAACCCAAGCAGCATTTAGTTATTATGCTCCAAATATCTGTACATCTATGTCCAACGCAACTCTCACTACTTTTAAAACTAGGCTGAAGACTTTTCTTTTGTTTTATTCTTTTTAAACTTGTTTGGCCTTATTTTATTTTTTAAATATGTTTTGGGCAAATTGTGCCTTTCTTGTAGAGACAGAGTTGAAATGCGTGACAGAGGGGATGACATGAGGGAAATAGTCCCGAGCCAGTTTCGAACCAAGGTCCTCCGCTTGTGGACCTAGCCTATTTAATGACTGTTTTTAAATGTATTTAAATATTATTTTATAATGTGTTTCTGCTGCAGTATATGTTAATGTTTTTATTTTTGTAAAGCAGTTTGAATTGCCTTGTGTTGAAATGTACTCTGTATATACACTTGCCTTGCCTTACACAACACTGTACTGATCACTGTTGAAAGTGACAATTCTCCCTCTCTAACAAAGTGCATCCGGAAAGTATTCATACCCCTTCACTTTTTACAGCCTTATTTCAATTTGGATTACATTCATTTGCTTTCTCAACATTCTACACACAATACCCCATAATGACAAAGTGAAAAACGTTTTAAAATAATTTTTGCAAATGAATTAAAAATAAAACACTCAAATATCACATGTGCATAAGTATTCACACCCTTTACTCAATACTTTGTTGAAGCACCTTTGGCAGCAATTACAGCCTCAAGTCTTCTTGAGTATGATGCTACAAGCTTGGCACACCTATCTTTGGGCAGTTTCTCCCATTCTTCTTTGCAGATCATCTCAAGCTCCATCAGGTTGGATGGGGAGCGTCGGTGCACAGCCATTTTCAGATCTCTCCAGAGATGTTAAATTGGGTTCAAGTCTGGGCTCTGGCTGGGCCACTCAAGGACATTCACAGACTTGTCCTGAAGCCACTCCTTTGTTATCGTGGTTGTGTGCTTAGGGTCGTTGTCCTGTTGAAAGGTGAACCTTCGCCCCAGTCTGAGGTCCAGAGCACTCTGGAGCAGGTTTTCATCAAGGATCTCCCTGTACATTGCTGCATTCAACTTTCCCTTGATCCTGACTGGTCTCCCAGTTCCTGCTGCTGAAAAACATCCCCACAGCAGGATGCTGCCACCACCATGCTTCACTCTAGGGATGGTATTGGCCAGGTGATGAGCGGTGCCTGGGTTCCTCCAGACATGATGCTTGGAATTCAGGCCAATTTTGATTTCATCAGACCAGACAATTTGGTTTCTCATGGTCTGAGAGTCCTCTAGGTGCTCCATGGGGGCTTTCATGTGCCTTTTGCTGAGGAGTGGCCACTCTACTATAAAGGCCTGATTGGTGGAGTGCTGCAGAGATGGTTGTCCTTCTGGAAGGTTCTCCCATCTCCACAGAGGAACACTGGAGCTCTGTCAGAGTGACCATCGGGTTCTTGGTCACCTCTCTGACTAAGGCTCTTCTCCCCCGATGTTCAGTTTGGTTTTGGCGGCCAGCTTTAGGAAGAGCCGTGGAGGTTTCAAACATCTTCCATTTGCAAATGATGGAGACCACTGTGCTCGTTGGGACCTTCAATGCTGCAGACATTTTTCTGTACCCTTCCCCAGATCTGTGCCTTGATACAATTCTGTCTCTGAGGTCTACAGACAATTCCTTGGACCTCATGACTTGGTTTGTGCTCTGATGTGCACTGTCAACTGTGGGACCTCATATAGACAGGTGTGTTCCTTTCCAAGTCATGTCCAATCGATTGAATTTACCACAGGTGGACTCCAGTCAAGTTATATACATCTCAAGGATGATCAGTGGAAACGGGATGCACTTGAGCTCAATTTTCAGTGTCATAGCAAAGGGTGTGAATACTTATGTGCATGTGATATTTCATTTGATTATTTTTAACACATTTGCAAAATATGTTTTGAAACGTTTTCTATTTGTCATTATGGGGTATTGTGTGTGGAATGTTGAGGAACAAAATAATTTAATCCATTTTGAAATAAGGCTGTAACATAACTACATTTGAAAAAGGTTAAGGGGTATGAATACTTTCCGGATGCACTGCACATGCAGTTGGGGAAACAAGTTCCACTAAAGGAATGTTTCTTACCATATATGGTCTGTTTATGCACAAGCAGATGGGTGTAGAATAAGTAAATCCTTGTACATTTCATGCAGGTTTGAGCAGCAGGTGTGACACTCTGCTGATGTGTCTGATTAAAGGGGCCCTATCATGCTTTTTGGAGTTGTTCCTTTTCCTGTAGTGTGTTATATAGGTTTTTGTGCATGTAAATGGTCTGCCATATCATAAATACCAAAGTTCTCTCCAGAGGGAGTTTATCTCCATACACACTATGTCTGAAACACTTCCATTGAACTCCTTTGTTTACTTATATAAAATAGTGACATCACTATGTAACACTCGCAATTGTACATGATAGGCTAAGGCAGGGGTTCCCAAACTTTCCAGCCCACGACCCAAGAAGGATATCAAGAAGCATATAAAACAAACAATGGATGTATTTTATGAACATTTATCCATGCTGAAAGTAGATTTAGGAGTGAGATAGAGATTATAATATATGCATCCAATGAAGCATTGTATGCAGTCTGTTGAAGATCAGAGGCTGTTGTTGGGGCTGCAAAAACGTTTTTAAATGTTTGTTTTGTAGGCAGACCATGCAGGCCAGCCCGATGGTCACCAAGGTTCATGTTTTAATAGCATTTTTACAAAAAAAGCCCAGGCGAGCCTAACATGTGAAAAAATGGCTTAGACCTCAGAGAGATAAACTTGGGCCTGCGACCATAGTTTTACTATATTTTGTTTTGAAAATCCACAGCGGAGGTTTGTGTTGTACTACATGCGGTGTATTTTGCATCTCTCTCAGTAGCCAACGATCTGTGAGTCTGACATAAATTCCGTAATAAATGTAGTCTACATTTCATAAGAGGTGTAAAACCTGAGAGCATTTTAAATCGCATTTGAACTAAATGCTTATATAATATGTAGTTGTATTTGTATTGTTGATTTAATGTGTGAACGAGGCGATGTAGAGAAGTTAAGCTGTCATTATTAGCCTGTAATTTGTTATATACTGTTGGAGTGGTAAGCAGGCCTATTGTTTTTGGATATTTGTGGAGTTAGGTGGTCCGCGAGTGTTTTTTTATTGGTGAAGTGGTCCTTGGTATGAAAAGGTTTGAGAGACACTGCTCTAGTGGATTGTCAACGGGGGGAGCCTCGCTGCGGGGAAATTATACAGATGGCTAGTCCGCCCCTGAAAAATGTCTATGCACACGTTATTATTAATAATAATTAAAAAAACATTGATAAAAGAAAATTCTAAAAAAAAAGAATTAATTATTTTTAATTTTCTATTTTTATTTTGTAATCATCTCGCGACCCCCACTCGGGGAACCCATGGGCTAAGGGGCGGGTAACAAGCGGATGAGAAATTACTACAGAGTCGGCCAGCTAACCAATCAGAGCAGACTGGGCTAGGAAGAATGAGAAAAATAAAGACCTTTTTGAAAATTACAGCATGTAAACATGTCTCAGTAGAACAAAATATAAATATGAAACCGGAAAATTAGCCCCTTTAAAACTGAAACATTGATCAGAAAGGCTCTGATTTGCAGCTAGAATATGACACCAATTTATCTACGGGACATTAGGACGTTACTGTCCAACCTCACCATCATGAGACATCAGGCTCTGTTTATGGTCTTAGGTGATGCAAGTACAGCACAATTTAGAGTGTTGTTATTTACAGTCAGCATTAGCAAAAGTTAGTTGCTTGTTTGTGAACTCTACCTCTGGACTGGGATCTGAAAATGTTCGAACATCTTATGTTCATGGACCGCAAGTTAATATCAGCAACTCTTTAGTGCTATTTGTGAATGTTTGAGCTTTAATTTGCAGCAAAATGAATGTGTATGAAGCACATTTGGATGGTGTTTGAATAGGCAAACATAGCACAGTACATTTGTGCAGCCGAGATGAGTAAGCGTGTGTAACTCCACATTCATTTCTCAGTGTCAGTGGGTGAACTTTGTTACTACAGTGAGTCAGAGATACACATGGTGCCCTACAGTATGGGTGTATAGTGAGCGTGTGCCATAGATACAGAATGGTAAACAGGAAAGAAATGCAAAAGATCTGAGTAAGATTTCAGCTGGGGAGACTTTTTACAGTAAGTATAAAGAGGCTCATTCAAATACTTCAAACCCATTCAACAGTGTGTGAATGAGCACTACAAGCGATAAACAGCATTTCCTGAAGCTAAAAGTATACCACAAGATACGTTTGGAATAAAAATCAATTTTTTACATTCAGTGAAAATAATTTGACAGCAGGAGGCCGCAACCCTTCGCCTGTTAACAGAAAGAAAGCTGAAATTGGTGAATAATAATGTAGAATCAACCTGGTGGGAAGCAGCGTGAGGTTGATGTTGGAAGTAGAAATAAGGAGAAAGTTGCTTTGGAAGAGATTTAAATGAGTTTAAAGAGTTTTTTTTTCTCAGTAGGCATTTTCAGGACCAAAAAGTGCCTATTTATCTGAGATGTGTTACGTTACGTCCGCGGAGCCGTTACGTTAAGCCCCCGCTGATTGGTCC